AAAAGATGATGTAAAACAAGTAGAATTGAAAAAAGAACTTGAACTAAAAATGGATGTAGACAGAGAACAGGTGGAGAGCAAGAAAGAACCTGTATCAAAAGATGATGTAAAACAAGCAGAACCGAAGAAGGAACCTGTGCCAAAAGTAGATGTAGACGAAAAACAGGTGGAGAGCAAGAAAGAACCGGTATCTAAAATTGATGCTGAACAAGCAGAACCGAAGAAAGAACCTGTATCCAAACTAGCTGGTGACGAAAAACAAGTAGAACGCAAGGAAGAATCTGAGATGGATATTAACAAAGAAACGAAGAAAGAACCTATATCAAAACCAGACATAGACAAAGAATCCAGAGAATCTGTATCTAAAATAGACATTGACAAAAAACTGATAGAAAGCAAGAAAGAATTTATATCAGAAATAGACATAGATATCAAGAAGGAATTTGTACCAAAAGTGGATATTGACAGAGAACAAGTGGAAACGAAGGAGGAATCTGTATCAAAAGTAGATATTGACAAAAAACTGACAGAGAGCAAGAAAGAATTTGTATCAGAAATAGATGTTGCTAGAGAAACTGTATCAAAACTAGACATTGACAAAGAACTGATAGAGAGTAAGAAGGAATTTGTATCAAAATTAGACAAAGAACTAATAGAGAGCAAAAAGGAATTTGTATCAGAAATGGATGTTACCAGAAAGTCTGTATCAAAACTAGACATTGACAAAGAATTGATAGAAAGCAAAAAAGAATTTGTATCAGAAATGGACATAGATAGCAAAAAAGAATTTGTGGATGTTGCCAGAGAACAAGTGGAAACAAAGAAGGAATCTGTATCTAAAATAGACATTGACAAAGAACTGATAGAGAGCAAGAAGGAATTTGTATCAGAAATGGATGTTACCAGAGAATCTGTATCAAAACTAGACATTGACAAAGAATTGATAGAGAGCAAGAAGGAATTTGTATCAAAAATGGATGTTACCAGAGAATCTATATCAAAACTAAAACTAGAAAAAAAAGAAGTAATAGAAAGCAAGAAGGAATTTGTATCAGAAATGGATGTTACCAGAGAATCTGTATCTAAAATAGACATTGACAAAGAATTGATAGAGAGCAAAAAGGAATCTGTACCAAAACTAGATACTGACAAAGAACTGATAGAGAGCAAGAAAGAATTTGTATCAGAAATAGACCTAGATAGCAACAAAGAATTTGTAGATATTCCCAAAGAACGAGTGGAAACGAAGAAGGAATCTGCATCAAAACTAGAACTAGACAAAGAAGAACTAATAGAGAGCAAAAAAGAGTTTGTATCAGAAATAGATATTGCCAGAGAAACTGTATCAAAACTAGACATTGACAAAGAACTGCTAGAAAGCAAGAAGGATTTTATATCAGAAATGGATGTTGCCAGAGAATCTGTATCAAAACTAGACATTGACAAAGAACTGATCAAAGACCAATCAGAAATAAGCTTCGAACAATTAAAAAAGAAGAAATCCGTCTCTAAGCTGGAAGAAACGAAGGAACAATTTACATCGAAACTAGATATGGACAAAATCCTAGTAGATACCAAGAAAGAACCCAAACTGTCCAAAGTGGATGCCGAAGAGAAACAAGATATCGGCGAAGAGCGAAGAGGAAAGGAAGCGGAGAAACGAGAGGAATCGACGAGCGAGGAAGAAGACAGAGAATCGGAGGAGTCCGAGGAGGAGGAGGAGGAGGAGAGATTGACGATCCGAGTGACGGCCGATCTGACGTCTGGGGACCTGGTCGCCCATGGGGCGTACGATCCCGACAAAGAGAAGTTCGTGGACCCGGAAACGGGAGAAGTGGTCTCGTTCCACGACTTCGTGTTGGAGCTAGGGATCTTCGATCCGGACCACGTTCTCGTCAAGGATCTATCTTGCAAAACGATGGACAGATACGTGTCCCTCCGCGAGGCGATCGCCAAGCCTCTGGTCGATCGAAATCTCGGATACATGGTCGACCCCAAAACCGGCAAAAGGATACCGTTCTTCGAGGCCGCGAGATCAGGCTTGATAAAGGAAAGGCCTGCGATGCCCAAGTCGACGATCGACGGCCAGCAAGCCTCGTTAACGCTACGCGACGCTGTGGAGATCGGCCTCCTCGACCCGTC